TTAGCAAATTTCCCCCCCAGGATATTGGTACCCCTCTGGTTCAGATGTAGACCATCCCGTTTGTAGAGGTCCCACCTACCCCAGAATGAGCCCCAATTATCCAGGTATCTGAATCCCTCCCTCCTGCACCATCCCTGTCGCCACGTGTTCAACTGCTCTCTCTCCCTATTCCTCACCTCGCTAGCACGTGGCACGGGTAACAAACCAGAGATAACAACTCTGTTTGTTCTAGCTCTAAGCTTCCATCCTAGCTCCTTGAATTTCTGCCTTATGTCCCCATCCCTTTTCCTACCTATGCCTGCCTTAGTAGCGCACTAGGTCTGCAAGTGGCCAATTAGGAAACTGCTTGCAGTAGCAAATCATAAAGCTGGACCTGCTGCAGCAGCAGCGACTCAGGGCCCAATTTCCTCCCCGTTAAAAGGATGACCAAGCCAGAGATAAAATTCAGGCTTGTAAATCTAATTTATACTGAGGTACAAATACAAAACATAGGCCCTGATCATCTTATGCTAAGTGGTGAGGGACCTGGTAGGGGAAAAAGAAAATCAATGAGCTCCCTTGCTGTCCTTGCCCAAAGGATGACAAATTTGTGAAGCTTTTCATTTAATTTAATTAAGGGCATTTGTGGCACAGTGGTAGCACCCTACCTCAGAGCCAGGAAGCCTGGGTTCAAGTACTACCTGCTTCAGGAGGTGCACCATAACATCTCCATACAGGCTGAATAGAAAATACCTATAGATGGACCGGTGGAAGCAATGATCTTGATGCAGATTTAAGGTCAACTACATTAGTAAAACAGGTCTTAGTGATATTTACTTGGTTCTGAACAAACAAAGGAGAAAGAGGCCTTGGAGGCACCAAACTAGCAGAATTTTTTTTAAATTCTGAAAGAAACCACAACGGAATCAATACCTTCTTCATCTGTACCTACTTTAGCAATTTTCCCTTTCCATGGCAAAAGGGGCCAAGGTGACTTTCCATTAACACAGTGTAGATTGTGAACTAAAATAGAGATATTCTCTGTGGCTCAGCTGTACGGCTCCTTTATCAATCAAACCAAAAAGGGATACACATTTATGGATTAAAAATAACTTTAAAGTCAATTTTGCTTTCATTGCACAGGATAATGATTGGTATTTTGAGACCTTTGTATTTGACCTTAAAAATGCAAATAATCAAATCCATTATTGATGACAGCCTTTACTGAAAATATTTCAACTTGTCAGAAATATTTAGCTTTAACTATCAACTAAGCATTCCTAAAATGACAAAATAAGTAATTTTATTGTCATGGCCAAACACCTGCATGGATTGCATTCTATAGTAATATTGTCAATTATTACTCAATATTACCATTCAATAAACCTGTGCAATCTTCATTACTAGAATGTCATCATTGAACATAAAGAGCTGCATAAGGTGACAAAGCAGTTATTAGAGTACACAATCCTTTATTTTAGAAAAGTATAAAAATATAATCCACTTCAGGAGACAAAACTACACAAAAATAAACTTATGAAGTTGCACTCTCGAAGTGATGCCTGATCACTAAAAGTGATTAATTTAAAAGCACAAGAATTTACATCTTCCAATCCTGAAAAAAAAACAACTTTGTTTCCATAGTGACAAAGATCCAGCTTGGGATTTCATGGAATGTTCAATCTTCTAAGCCAAATTTTAACCCTCCAACCTTCAAATCAGCTCTTCTCCCAAGTCGTGCAATTAACCTGTTCAGAAATGTTATGACACACCTCTGGAGCAGACAGGACTTGAACGCAGGCTTCTTGGCTCAGAGGTGGGAACAGTACACCTGTGCCGTACTAGCCCTTCCAAAAAATTTTTTTATTCAACCTGTTTTTCTAATCAGCCTGCTCGGAAGTGTTATTACACAACTCTGGAGCAGGTGGGAATTGAACCTGGGCCTCTTGGTCCAGGGGTCAGGACACTACCACTGTGCCATAAAGAGGGCCCCCATGTTTTGTCATTATCCTATTTTTTCTAATCAGACTGTTCAGAAGTGTTATTGCACACATTTGGAGCGGGGACTTGAATCCTGGCCTCCTGGTCCAGGGATAGGGACACTGCCATTATGCCACAAGGAGGATCCTGCCCCTCCCCACGCCTCAAAATCATTTTCATAGAAGTCAATCAACAGATTCACCTGCTTTTGATATGGTACTATCCCACACATTCATGTTGCTGACAATGGTTCATGATCTCCTGAACCAAATAACAGACTCAAAAGCAATTAGGCAATTGCTTTAATATTTCCAAATTTGTATTGTATTCACTGAAAATATTGTCTAATGAATGAACAAATCTAATTAATGAGCCTCTCAACTTAAAACTCAAGTCTATTCTGCAAACCCTCAAAACATTTGATTTGTCAAATTTATACACAATACTTCAACTGTAGCCTTACCATTAAATATAATTGTAAAAAATAGCTTATTTGATCTATCAAAAGTCCTCAAGGCACACCCAGTACTGAATTATCTTCACTGGTAATGTTATATTGGTTCGTTGCTCTTAATGAGTGATCAATAAACTTACACAAATCCTTTGTACCTATGCAAATGCATTCTCATTCAGTGCTGGTTTCCTGCACTAATACACATTTATTAACAATAACTTTAACCGAAAATTCCATAACCAATCTATTTAATTTCTCCAGGCTCCTGTTGATTGCTACTAAATCAACTGTATTCTGTCTTTTAGCTTTGGCCCAAAATCATGGAGTTCTAAAAGGAGAGTCACAGGACCCAAACATTAACTTTGCTTTCTATCCACAGATGCTGCCTGATCTACTGAGTTTTTTCAGCAATTTCTGAGCTGGTGGAATTTGACCAATTCAGTAAAAATCTGCATATAAAGCTAATACATGGGCTGTCATATGGCTGAATGGAGAACATCTGATTTAGATGTGGATTGTTAAGTAAAATGGCTCTTGTGGCACAGCAGTAGTGCCCCTGCTTCTGTGCCAGAAGGTTTAAGTTCCATCTATGCCAAAAATCTGTCACATCATGTCTGAATAGATTGGTGAAAAATACTTACAAAGTAACCTAATAGTGACTAAGTAACCACTGCTGATTGTCATAAATACCCAGCTGGTTCACTAACGCCCTTTAGGGAAGGAGATCTGCCATTTTTACCTGGTCTGGACTACATGTGACTTCAGACCCACAGCAATGTAGTTGACTCTGAACTGGTCTCTAGCCAATTAGGGATGAGCAAAAAAATTGCAGTTCTAGCCAGTGCCACCCACATCCCATGAACAAAAAAAAACTGTCAACAGGAAACTGATTGATCGGAGACAGCACCATAGTGTGTTGTACAAATTAGAAAAGTCCAGACTTTACTCTTACTTTGTTCTGATTGAGGTCAAGAGAGTACTAGGACAGATAATTGGCCTATGTCACCAAATTGGAGAATGACAAGAAAAAGAAAATCAGTTTCCTGGTTGCTATCCAGAGACCACAGTATTCTAGAAAGTATATAAATAAATAAGGTTTAGATGAGATGGTCAAACACATTATAGGTGTGTAAATAATTAAGTGTCGGTGAGGTAGTCTCGGAATAAATACCGATAGTGGAGGACACAGTGATGGTAACTCATTGAATTTCAAGAGGTGGTCGTTGTCTGTTATTTGAGATGGTCATTGGGCTTGGGCTGACAAGGGACAAGTAACATTCACATTATGCAAATGCCAGACAGACTGTAGATCTTGCTGCATCTGAACACAGATTGCTTCAGTATTCAAAGAGTCACAAATGGTGGTGAACATTGCTCAACCATTGGCAACATCCTCACTTCTGACCTTGATTAATATGGAACTGACCATATAGATTAGATATTTTTCTATCATTTTGATAAGAACGCAAGCAAGTCTGACAAAATAATTTAACATCTTCTATTTATGGGAGGCAGTGTCATGGTAGTAGTCACTAGAAACGAAACCTAGAATTCCTGCCGAATGCTCTGAGGACATGGGTTTGAATGCCACCATGGCAGATGGTGAAATGTGAATTCACTAAAAAAAATTCAAAGTTTCATGGCTACAATATAACTTGCTGTTAAATTTCCCTAATTCTGTAGGGAAGGAAATGAGTAATTCTGACCTCTTGTGGCCTACATGAGACTCAAAGGGCCTCAGTTCAGGGACAATTAAGGACTGGCAATAAATGCTGGCCCAGCCAGTGAAATGCACATCCCTGAGCAATTATATACCAGCTTACTTTACCTCTTTGGAGCCCTTTTGGTTTCCATTCCTTTAGTTTATGGTACCAAGAGGGATCAAAACATTTTTTAGACTATTAACAACCTTTTGTTTTATTTTCAATACATAATCATTTCTAGCGTTATACCCTGTCCAATGTTCTAATTACTGATGGGAGGCCTCGAATTTACTCCCAACATTTTCTGACCCTGTTTTACCTAATTTCTATTCATATTGATTCTACTTAACCTTATGAATCAAAATGCTTTTATGGGGATGCTGGATAAGTATCTGAAAGAGAAAGGAATCAGAAAATATGATGACAGAAATTATGATGAGAGGCAACTCATACAGCATAAACACTGACTTGGGCTAGACCAACTGGCCTTGCTCTATGTTGCAAAATTCCATGTAATTCCACTTGTTATCAAGGTTATTTTTCACCACATTTCTAATCCACTATAATCTCAGTCTAATCGTGCTATGTTCTTCGCACCAAAGAGGATAAATCACATTGCACTCACTTATCCTCATTCATTGAAATATATTCTTTTAAAAATACTAAACTTGTCTTGTTATTATATTCCACGCCACTAAGTCATACTTAGGATGTTTGATTATCCAAGATCACACTTATGCAGGATTGCACACGTGCATCTTTTCAGTTTTTGTCTTCCTAATATCAGATCCGAATTAGTACGAATGCTAGGAAGACAACGTGTTCGAACGTTTTGTAAAAATCTTATGTCTCTTGTATTACAAGAAAGAATAATTAATACTTGCCTTTCAGTGGATCATGTTCAGCTCTCATTATGTCAATAAGCGAATTTTCAAGCGAATGCATGTTCAGAGAGTCATATAGACGATTGCGATCCTGTAAACAACAAAAAAAATTAACTCAATGTAAACTAATCCTACAAATATTTAGAAGTTTGGTTAATAGTGCAAGATAACAATAGGCACATTACTACACCAAAAAAAGATACAAATCGTATGAAGTCTTGTCAAACTGTCAATTATCAATTCATTCTGAACTACAAGATATAGCCTTTAGCACAGACATTTGATCTGAATTAAATTAAACATATGATTGACCATTAATAAAAAAAGTGATTTAAGTGTCTGAAACAAATACAAAGTGCATCATGGCTGTCAATGGACAATGCCAGGAGGCCAAAGTGTCAGACCTCAGATGGCCTGAAGAAATCCTGGGCGCTGGAAGCCCCAGCAGGATGAGATGTCTGTCTGAAAGAAGGAATGAAAAGCATCTACTAGGACAATTCTGAATGGGTTATGCAGCTGGAGCTAGAACGGTCCCAATGCTTTTGGTTTGCTGTCGGAAAAAAGATCACTGACTTCATGTTCTAAAATAGGACCTTATCTGTGGAACACAATCTGCCTCTCTTCACTGCAGTGATTGGAGAGGGGCACATTCAAAAACTTGAAAACTTTATCCACTTGGGATTGCTCCAAATGATCATTGAGCAGGTGGGAGTTGGGAATGGATCCTCCCACGTGATTTCAATTACTGTGCTAGCCTGCGCCTATGACAAGCATGTGAAGTCCAAGGTAATTTGTTGGCACAAGACAGTGGAGATTCCTATTTCTTGTACTTAGCAACAATGCATTTCCCGACCAGTGATCACCAGACAAAATGGCTCATGACACCCAACATGTACTAATGAACGTGAAATCAATTAAAATGCTAGTCACAAGTTATCTTGTTTGTCTGTTAATTCTGTGGTGATTCTTATGAAATTGTCTTATGCTGCATTATGTTCAATTAGCATAATGATCCTTCAATTTTATCACATTCTTCAGATATTTGATGGTGTCTCCATACTTAACTGAGATAAAATCTAGACTAACATTAATTTTAAAATTACAGAACAAGTTGCCTCAATGTTAAATCTATTTCAGTATGTAGATTGCACACTAGCTTTGCCAAGTTACATTTTTTGCTTTCAGACAGATAACAGATTTTACAAGATCCTAAAAATTATGTTCAAAATATTAAACGTAAAACTGCAGGATTCACTTTTTATTCCATAGATCATTAGACTGGATGGAGGCAGCAGCAAGGTAGGATGTGTTCAGGCTCTGTGCCTGTACGTTCCCCCTCCCGCTCACCAGGCTGGTCACATTCTTCTTTGCTCTTTTTTTTGTTCTTTTTTTTCTTCTTTATCAAAGTTCACCTTTTCTTCTTTTCTGTGGCTACAGTGGAGGAAGGTGGTTCTAAGAGCCTGCTGCAGCAGCGGTGGCATTGTGGATCCAGGCGTCCGCTCCTCGTGGCCATGACTTTATTTTTGGTGGGTCTGGTCCATTTCTGCTAGCAGTGCGGCGGTTTTAGCAGTGGACATATAGTGGCTCCGGTAATTCATGGCTATGGCAACAATATGGTGGCTTCAGGCAGCGACAGCTTCAGCATCAGCGACTTGTTTGGTCCAGTCTGTTCCTCCTTGGTGTGGCAGTGATTTCGGTAGTGGCAGCGTGGTGGGTCCAGTCCGAAATCCTTGCTTTGGTGACATCAGGGGCAGCTTCAGCAGCGCCATCCCATAGTCACTTCAGAAACCCAGGAGCCGTGGAGGGAACGAAAGATGAACTTTGTTTCAATTATTTTTTTATAAATTTCTGCACTTAAAATGACAAATTGTGGCAACATATACAGATCTCACTGTTATCATAAATACAGCTGAAAATAAACCGCTATTCTATTCTAAACTTGCAAATTAACCCTTTCAAATACTTAGTAAATACGCTTACTTTAATATTTTGCCAGTTTTAAAGTGTTTTGCACAAGTTATTCACATTACGAATAATGACTTAGGTCAGTTTATTTCGATTATTAAAAAGTTTCTTTTTAGTTGTTACTCAATACATTAGCTGTTACAAAATTTTCCAAACAATGCAACAGCAAGGTCAAAGTGTTATTTTCCGGTGTTTGTATACATAACAAACTGTACTTACTCTTCAGCTGTTTTAAACAAGAACTCTATTACCAGTCAACCACTGCACTCAGTTTTAAAAAAAAATCACATTTATAATTTCAACTGGAAGTAGTTCTCTTGCTTTTCAGTTTCAACTGCATTTACACAATAAGAAATCAGAGTTCACGAGTAGAAAGGAAAGCAAGCTGTAGCATTGTAAACATGTTCTATGAATGCATTTACAATGCTGCTACAGAATAATTAGCATAGCTCTTCCTCTATTAATCTCAAACCTGAAGAATTCAAAGTAATCCGGTTATACACCACGAATATCTTAGAAAATATTTTGTTCCATTCCTCAAATTGCCTTTAAAAAGAGGGTGCAGACAGTCAATTGAAGCAAACAACTTAAATTTTCAGTTTCCTGTGGTGAAAGTGGAAAATCTTGAATGGAGAGGTTTAAAAAAAGGACTACGTACAACAGACCAAAATTGGAGAAATGAAGTGATCTTGGTGGCGACTCTTGTGGAAATGGAGGAGTTTACAGTGACGGAGAGGTGCAAGACTATAATGGCATTAAAAACCAAGGCATTATGGACCTGGAGCTAAAGTAGGTCAGTAACCATAGCGCTCATGGGGCATAGAATCTAGTCTGAGATAGGACATGGACAACAGGATTTTGACTAGGCTCAGGTTCACAAGTGTGCAAGACAGGGAAACTGCTCAGGAGAGAACTGGATGGTTAATTTTTGAAGCAACACAAGCCTTTACACACCCATTTTTCTTGTCCAAAAGTTTTACTCTGAATTTGTTAGTAAGGAAGAGTTTTTTTTTTCCCTCATCCCTCAGTGATCAAATTCAATAAGGACATCAATTTCCATTAGCAGCAGCAAATAGTTATGTATACAAGTTAATGGAATCATGAAATTAACCATGCTCCGGTGCACACTGTTGTGTGACCAAGACAACACTTGGGTAGTTCTAGCTTAAAAAGCAGAAAAATTTCATAGTAATTCACTGTATTTTTTTTTAAAAAACTCAATACTAGCCCTAATCTTTTAAATACCATAATCATACACACAAACCTCGACTGTGAACATTTAAGTACTCAAATCCAAACAGGATAAAACAACTCAGTTTGCAGTTTCCTGCTAAATCAACAATAAAACAATAAGGCAAAATAATTGATCCTGATTCAAGTGAGTTAGAAGTTGTAATTTTTACTCTTGCAGCTCACATTACCCTCGAGATAAAGTTATATTGATGTCCAGGATTGTACCTTGGTAATCAATGTAAAGGGGAATGGAGGAGAAAGTCAGTTTTTTTTGTTTTACAGCATGTAAAGATGCCTTTTGCCATAACAGCCACGGTCATCAAGCATTTATCTTGTCTAATTCCATTTTCCAGTACATGACTCATAGCCAGGTCAATATTAGTCAATATTCTCATCTTGGGTTCACATAACTGTCTGTAATCATTGGCAAGGTACGTTCAGTTTATTGCAAATCAATAGCTTAATGAGCATTCATGGAACAGGTTGTTCTGTGTGCTTACAGTGAAAGAGGGAGCTAATCTATTAAAACATTGCATTTCATAATCTAACCCAACATATACAGTATGAAAAAAAGCTTAGTGATTCTATTCACTTGTATAGTATTATGTACTCACTGCTCTATTCTATGTAAGGCAAAGGTAACTGTAGCATGGATGTCCGAAACCGGTTTTTTTGGCCTTCTGGCAGCTGTACCATTGCACTTTTGGCAGTTATATTAGATGTTTTATTTAACTAAATGTTTTGAAACATTGGAGTCTATTTTGTACATTTTCAGCAAGAAGACATCAAAAGTCAGGGAATTTCAACATCATATGCAGGAGCATTTATTGAATCATTTATCCATAGTTATTTTAGTGTACCAACTAAATAACATCTGATGTTGTTAGGTGTGTAGATCTAAAAAAAAGTCAAAACATTGCAAATTCATACTTAGTACCTGAAGACAACTCTAACTGTGCCTCATCAACGCACTGGGGACAGAAGTGCTGAATAATTCGAACCATGCACTTGGAGAGTTGATGTATTCAGCTCTTAAGCAGAAGGGAAGGACAAGTCAAGGAGACCAACAAAAACAAAAAAGATAGTGCTTTACAATAGTGAATGGAAGCATATTTCCAATGGTTAAACATTGAGATTATTGTGCTTGCTTCTTTCATATGAATAGAGTCCATTAGACGTTTTGCCAAAGACATCCAATATTTTGCCCTCATTTTGGCAGGAAAAAAGTTTAGTCCCTTCACTAGACTAAACTCATGGCAGAATAAATCTGCTGAGATTAGGTTGCAGCAAGCTTGGTAGAATGCAGGCTCTATTCCTAAACAAAAATATAGATATAATTGCATAATGTCAACAAATTTACTTGTTTTAGTTAAGATTATAACACATTTACTTTTCAAGTTTAGCATCTGTGGAAAATGATCTCAGACAAAAACAACTGAAATGTTCGTGGTGCCTTACATCAAATCATGCTGACAAGGAATACTTCCTGACTGGTTAAAGCAAGGCACAGCAAATGTAGCATTCCCAGTGCCATCCATACAGGAATCAGCTAATGATGGCATAGGACAAAGATCTGAAAACTTCATATAATGCAATGTTGAGCCAAAAAGATATTGAATATATAAAGTTCTCAGATCTTGAATATTATAGCTCGAACACAAGAATAAAATATCAGACTAAACTGAAGGAGCATGCACTGCAGTCATACATTACAGCAATATGTAGAGCCAGAGCACTGATTAGTTCAAAGCCTGCAGAGAAATATCAAGCTATGGCCAATTCAAGTTAATAAGAGGAGGCAGTGAAAGAAAAGGACGTAACAAACTGAACAATCATACAGCTTCCATCAACAGAGCAGCATTACCAAAAATGTATGAGGCCATTGTGCTTAACTATTTGTTGAAATCTGACTGCAATATTGAAACTCAAGCACAGTATGCTCCAGTTGTTTACCCAAATACAGAAAGGGAGTACAGGAATTAAGTAGGTGCAGTTTTTACTGTGGTTCATCTTGTAATCAGACAACTCCTATCATTATACACTATGAAACTGTCTACCACACCCTTTCACACTGAAAACTGAAACAGTGGGAGGGAGAACAATCAAGTTGATCAAGCATAAAAGATAGCAATCACTTCAAGAAATTTTGCCATTGTGGTGGAAGTGGGTCACCTAAAACTGAAACAGATGTCCAGAAAATTTGAAACAAAAAAAAAGTAAAAATAATATTTCCTGTCAAATTGATTTGCCTACACAGGCACACCAACTCTGTGATAACAAGGTGTAGAGCTGGACGAACATAGCAGGCCAAGCAGCAGAGGAGCAGGAAAGCTGAGGTTTTGGGTCTAGACCCTTCTTCAGAAAAGGCAGTGGATCCTGCGAAGAATGAAAAACAGGAGAGGTCCTTTGCAGGCCTGGGAGAGGGAGGCTGAGCTGGGGTAGGCTGGATTGTAGTGCCAGGCGATGCCAGCACATTGCTGCGAGTATGTTTGAGGAGTCTCAGAGAGAAATGTTTTTGAAGGATCTGAATGTTCTGTATGTAGCAGTCGTTGCGGTTGGGGCCAAACTGGGAAAGCCTGAATGTAGACTGTACTCCATTGGGGATGATCTGGTTCCATAGGCAGGTACTAAGAAAGGCAATGTGGCTATAGTACCTGGTTTGCTTCAGGACGTGGTCAAACAGTTTCAGGGCCGAAGAGACTATCAGAGGTTTGCATTGGGAGAGAGATCCACCGAGGTCTTTCCGGAGGGAGGAGGGTAACTTCTTCAAGGTAGGCACCCTTAGAAGAGGCTTCGCAGTGGGGTTAAAATTGATTCAGAGATAGTAGGAACTGCTGATGCTGGAGAAGCTGAGATAACAAGGTGTAGAGCTGGTTTAACACAACAGGCCAAGCAGCATCAGAGGAGCAGGAAAGCAGACGTTTTGGGTGTGGACCCTTCTTCAGAAATCACACCTCCACACCAACTCTGCGGTGCTTGCCAGAGTTTTGTGCAAGGTTGTAAAAGACCCTAATCTACTATTTGAAGACAAGCAGGGGAGCTTTCTTAGTGACTTGCCCAATGTATAGTCATTGAGATCTATAGCATGGAAACAGACCCTTCAGTCCAACTTGTCCATGACGACCAGATATCCTAAATAAATCTAGTCCCACTTGCCAGCATTTGACCCATATCCCTCCAAACCCTTCCTATTCATATACCCATCCAAATGCCTTTTAAAACATTGTAATTGTACCAGTCTCCACCACTTCCTTTGGCAGCTCATTCGATACACACACTACCCTCTGCATGAAAATGTTGCCCCTTAGGTCCCCTTTAAATCTTTCCCCTCCCATCTTAAACCTATGCCCTCTAGTTTTGGACTCTGCCACCCCAGGGAAAAGACCTTGTCTAAATAGACTACCTATTCCTCTCATGATTTTATAGAATTCTACAAGGTCACCACTCAGCCTCTGACACTCGAGGAAAAAATGGCCCCAGCCTATTCAGTCTCTCCCTACAGCTCAAACTCTCCAACCTTGGCAACATCCTTGTAAATCTTTTCTGAACCCTTTCAAGTCTCACAACATCCTCCCTATAGCAGGGAGATCAAAAGTGCACGCAGTATTCCAAAAGTGGCCTAACCAATGTCCTGTACAGCCACAGCATGACCTCCCAACTCCATACTCAATGCAGTGACCAACAAAGGCAAGCATACCAAACACCTTCTGCCCCATCCTATCTACCTGCGACTCCACTTTCAAGGAACTATGAACCTACACTCCAAGGTCTCTTTGTTCAGCAACACTCCCCAGGACCTTACCATTAACTGCGCAAGTCCTGCCCTTATTTGCCTTTCCAAAATGCAGCACCTCACATTTATCTAAATTAAACTCCATCTGCCACTCCTCAGCCCAGAACCTACTGTACTATTTAAAGAGCAGGTGAGCTTTCTTGGCCAATATATAGTCATAAAGTCAGAGATGTAAGCACAGAAACAGACCCTTCAGTCCAACTCATCCATGCCGGATAAGTATCCTAAGTAAATCTAGTCCCATTTGCCAGCATTTGGCCCATATCCCTCTAAACACTTCGTGTTCTTATACCCATCTGGAAACAGCATAAAAATAAATTCTGGCTATTTATGACATTGTTATGTGTCCGACCTTGCTGCGTACAAGTTGGTTGCCATGTGTATTACAATGCCAACACATCGAGGAATTACTCAGATGTTAATAAACCCAAATTATTTCTTTTAAAAGGTAAAAGAAAGGTTACTGTAAAGTAAAAGCACAAACTAGAATTATATGATGCAAATTAATGGCCTTTTACTGAAGACCAAATCCAGGTATGAAAGATTCCACTGTTTGGAATTGTGATAATTATCCCTGGCAAGAAGGTAATCTTTGACCAACAGTGGCATCAATAAGACTTAATATCATTGAAGTAATTGATTAACAGGGGAAACTGTCCACCGACTTGAGTATACCAAGCAGAAACAAAGACAGTTGTGGTTGTTCAGTGTAATCATTCAGCTCCAGAACAAGAATATATAAATGAGCTGAATATTATTGTTGCCCAACTCCATATTCTTGCCTAGCCAGATACATTTTTCATATTCCATTCCCTTTGCAATAAACATTTGTCCCATTTGTCTTTCTAATCACTTTTGTACTTGCAATATCAACTTTGATTCATATATCAGAACACCCAAGATTCCTTTTAAGTTGTGTTCCTCAATCTCTCACCACTTTAATATACCGCCCTTCCAGTTTTCCTGAAAAGTAGACAAGCTCATATTTTCCTATATTACAATCCATATGCCAATATTTTGCTGATTCAATTAACTCATCCATATCAATACAAGAATCCATTGGGCATCGTCTTAGTTGAACTATCTTCAGTTGTTTCAAATAACCTTCCAGAAGTTGGGGTATTCACTGTTGATTGCAGCAGTTATATTCATAATCCCTCAATTAAATGAAGCAGCTTGCGCCAGCTTGTAACAAGACCTGATGTCATTCAAGCTTGAGTTGATACATGGCAAGTAACATTTGCATCAAAGTACCTTCAACATCACCTCATGAAATTCAACATTTTATCTTTATACAATCAACCACAATTCAGAAGCTTAACTGGGCCAGTCAAAATAAATACTTGGTTAAAAGAGCAGGTCAAAGCCTGTGTACTCTGCACTAACCAATTGATCATTGACTCCCCAAAACCCCTTCCATAACGCAAAATAAATCAGCAGCACAACAGATTACTTTACACTAGATGAGTGCAGCTTCAACAACATTGAAGAAATTCAACATCATCCAGGATGTTGTACATGGGTCAGAAAGGGTTAATACTGAAGACTTCCATTAGCACTACCACGAGGAATAAATGTCATATAGGTTTGAGAGCAGAACAGATTAGGATCTTGGAGTGAGAACTAATATCTGGTCCTCCTAAAAGTCTCTAGCAATGACTATCATGGCAATGTAACTTGTAACTAGTTGCTAAAGTGCAATAAACTATACCTTGTTGACTACAAGAGACTCTCCAGTGAGGGCGGAAAACCAACTCCTGGTTTATCAAACTAGACCAAGCATGCTCTGTCATGGCCCAAAGGAACAGGATGGTAGCAGCCACCTTTGTTGTGACATGCAGCTAATATAGTGTGGTAACTGGCAAGCCTGTACAAAAGGACAATGTAGTCCACTTGATCAGTTCCTCCATAACATCAACATGAACATATTCTGCACTGAAAATTAGTGCACAGCTGCAGCAACTCACCAAGGCCTTCCAACAGTATCTTCCAAATATACAACATCGCTATCTAGAAAGGCAAAGGTGTCAGAAGGATGGGAATATTACTTCCAAGTCACACATCATCCTAACTTGGAAATACTTTGCCATAACTTCATCACTGGGTTTAAAAACCTGGAACTCGCTGCATAAGAGCACCATCACATGTCATGCAACAGTTCAGGAAGATAGCTTAACACTACTCTCTCAAGGGTGCTTGAGAATTGATAGAATATGCAGGTCAGTCTTGCCAG